AGCGCTGTGCCGACCATCCACTCGGCGTGGACCTCCGTTGTGCAGCACCAGCTTCGGCTCTCGGAGCGGGGGGGAGGAGGGGGTGGGAAGGAGGAGGCGGAGGAGGAGGAGAAGGAGGAGGAGGAGGAGAAGGGGGGAGGCTCCTCTGTCCTCCCTCTTCCTTCCTGGCTCTCGCTCCCGCGAGCACCACGGGCGTCGAGAATGAGCACCCGCGTGCACGTGCACACCTGGCAGATGCAGAGCTTTTCTCTGCTGGGCAGGCCCCCCAGTGGCAGGTGAAGTCCCGCTGCCAGCCCCATGCCTCGCTGGCTTTGCCGAATCCGCAGCTGTATTCTTGGGAGGCGCATCTGGTGTAATGCGACCTAGCGATTAAGAAATGTGACGCCGACGACGACGCCGAGGACGATGACGACGCAGACGACGACGACAACGCTGACGACAAAGGCCACGACGGCGACGACGACCATCTTGTGAACATGTGATCATTAAATCGTTTTGACCTTCATTTGTTCTCCCTCTCCCTCGTGCCCGCCCGCTGGGTCTAGGACCCCCCCTTTTGGAGGGACTTATTTCATACCATCTCCTTGGAGAAGCATTCAGCAGTGCACTCTGTGTGCGCACCGCGCCGCGCCCTGGCCGTAATACGAGCCAGCGTGCCCGCGGGCATCTCACCAACTTGAATGATTTGCGAGGCAGTCTCGGGCGAGAGCGCTGTTCTTCAGTTTCGGGGTCTCTCTGGCCAGGGCGTCTCGAAGTAAACTGTAGGCAAGAATCGAGCGGGAGCCGTTGTCGTCGTAGGTGGGCCGTTACGAACTTAATCGAATTTCGTGACAGTGTCTGGCGAGAGCGTCGTTCCTGATTTTGGGGGCCTCTCTGGCCAGAGCGTCTCTGATTAAACTGGAAGGAAGAACCGAGCGGGAGCCGTTGTCGCCGTCGCCAACTTGAGTGAATTGTTGGGAAGGCTCGAGCGAGAGCGCCTTCCTTGTGTTTCGAGCCCTCACTGGCCAGGGCGTCTCGGAGTAAATTGCAAGGAAGTGCAGAGCGGGAGCCGTTGTCGTCGTCGGGCTGTTACCAACTTGATCGACTTGCGGGGAAGTCTCCAGCGAGAGCGCCGTTCCTGTGTTTCGCGGCCTCTCTAGCCAGGGCGTCTCGGAGTAAATTGAAAGGAAGTGTCGACCGGGTTCGGACTTCCGGCGCTCGGATTCAGGCGCTCAGGCGCTCGGATTTGGACCCAAGCCCGCGATAGAGCGGGAGCGTCGTTTTCAAAGAAAATGCAGCCCGCCCGCGTCGAAGCGAGAGCGCCCAGAACCGTTTCCGGAGATCAGCATGAATCACTCTCTAGAAGCGAGCATTCGACGACGACGACGGCGCCCTCCTTCCCTCTTAGGGGCAGCGTTCAGGCGGAGAGATGCCCAGGGGGGAAGCACCGAACCCAAATCGTCCTCTGATCGCCGAGAAGGGACGGATATCCCACCCCGCCCAGGAAGGTGCGGTTCCGGTATCGGGGGGTAATCGCCGATCTGTCGGCGATGTATCGCCGATTCCAGCTCGATGGCTCCCCCCCGAGCAGATCCTCCCCTGAGCCGGCCGTCCCCTGAGCCTGTCTCCTGAGCCGGTCGGGCACTCTCCGAGAGGACGCCGACGCCGACGCCGACGCCGACCGCCGACCGCCGCCGCCGCCGCCGCCGACGACGACGACGACAATTCCGTTTACGCCGACGCAGACGACGACGACGCCGGCGACGGCGCCCCCCTCCCCTCGCGAGGCTCGCCCTGCTTCCTTTCCGCCCGCCTCTCTGGGGTAGTGGGCGGCACACACAGTCCGAGGCGGGGATTTATACATAACCACCGCCCGGAGGATCGATGTTCGGTGGCCTCGAAAGGCGGTGGATCGGAGGTTGGGGGGTGAGATCGCAGTGAAACGGAGAGCCCCCACCGGGAAATCGGTTGTTTCGGTTTCGTGTTCGTGTCGCGCGTGCGGGCGAGGCGAAGCTGCGCGTGATCCTCCTGTAGCTAGGCCGAAGTAGGAGCGAAAGCCCGTTCCCGTCCGCCCGTGGCTGGAAGGTGTCCCAGTTGGGCCGGGCGGTGTCCCGGGTGTCCCGGGTGTCAGTAGGAGCGAAAGTCCGTTTCCCGTCCGCCGGTGGCCGGGAGGTGTCCCAGTTGGGCCAGGCGGTGTCCCGGGTTTCCCGGGTGTCCCAGGCGTCCCGGTGCTAACGCATGTCGCTAATTTCATAAGTCATTTTTCCGGCGCCTGCGGCGGGCTTTCTTATCCAATCCAGCTTATCTTATCCAATCCCCCTTGTCCAATCCAACCCATCTTGTCCAACCCACCCCTGTGGTTGTCCGACAACAAATCGTTTTTCGGCGCCTGCGGCGGGCTTTCTCATTTTGCTTTTGAGGTCGATAGTGAGATCGACAGTGAGATTCACCGATAGGTCGGTCGACGGATAGGTAGATAGTGTGATCTCATCGTCATCGCGATCATCATTGGGGTGGAGGAAGACTCTGATAAAGAGGGACAGAGAGAGAGAGAGACAGAGAGAGAGAGAGAGAGAGACAGAGAGACAGAGAGAGAGAGAGATGAGATCAAGGTGACAGGCTGGAGGTCAGTCAGGGTGGGCATTTGATCTCAATCCCCCCCCAACCTCCATATCGCCCGCAGGGCGGTCGTATAGGTATGGATCTATTCGGGCCTCTGGGGGCCAAAATATATCCATATCCACCGCCCACTTCTGTTCCCATGACGTTGGTTCCCAGGCTGTGGATGCGGATAAATCCCCGCCTCGCACTCAGGAGCTCGTGCAGTCGTCTGCCGGAGTCCCCCCCCCCCAAGGCTCTGCCTCAAGGACGCCGTGCAGATCTACAGGGCGCAGATGAACGACAAGGCCGCGGCTGCGCGGCCCGCGGGTGCCCGGACGGCCCTCTGTTGATCGTGGCGCCGGTCCCGCCAGCGGCTTTCTCGGGGGCCCCTCGGAGATTCCTCGGAGGTCCCTCGGAGGTCTTCGGAGTTGTGCCTGCTGGCGGGGAGAAAGGGGCCCCCTCGTCGCCACGGCTGGACGCGGCTCGAAAAACTGGTTAGTTTCGATCTTGGGACGGGGGTTGTGAACCGATTTTTTGAGCGGATTTGCCTTCGCCCCTTCCTCTTGATAGATTTTTGCAGGCCCATGCAGCACAGACCTCCTGGCCTCTTCAAACCACGGAGCCCTGGGGGGTCCTTGGATCTTTGGAAGTCCTCTGAGGGCTTCAGACCTCCAAAGTACTCTGTGAGTGTGGAGGACCATGTAGTCGAGCCAGCGCAACCCCTTGAAGAGCACGGCGATGATAAGGATGGTGATGAAGATGACGATGATGAGGATGAGAAAGAGGAGGCTGAGGAAGAGGAGGCGGAGGGGGAGAAGGAGGAGGAGGAGGAGGAGGAGGAGGACGAGGAGGAGGAGCAGGAGGAGGAGGAGGAGGAGGGGAAGGAGGGGGAGGAGGAGGAGGAGGAGGAGGAGGCGGCGGGAGGCGGAGGAGGAGGAGGAGAGGAAGAAGAAATGGTGATGCTGCTGCTGCTGTGATGACGGTGATGATGCTGATGATGATGATGATGATGATGATGAGATGATGATTGATGATGATGATGGATGATGTGACGCTGACGATGATGATGATGATGCTGATGATGAGATAAGATGATGATGATGATGACGATGAGCGATAATGATGCTGATGCTTGATGATGATGCTGATGATGATGATGATGAGATGATGATGATGATGATGACGATGATGATGATGATGATGATGATGATGATGATGATGATGATGATGATGATGATGATGATGATGATGATGAGGAGGAGGAGGAGGAAGAGGAGGAGGATGAGGAGGAGGGAAGAGGGAGGAGTTGTAGGAGTTGTAGTAGGGCGAGGTGCGCGGGAGACAGCTGCAGGAGGAGGTGCAAGGAGGAGTGGGGAAGAGTGTGGCAGGATCACGAGGAGCCGGAGGCTGGAGCAGCCGATCCCACGACGGCGCCCTGCGCACCCCGTGGCCGCCGCTCGACTTCCGCGGGGCTCCGACGAGCCCAGACCGCCGCCTCTGCCCTCTGGCGGCGCGGCCCACATGGCGGGGGCGGCGCAGAGGCCCCTGCCCTTCGCGCACCCGGCGGACGTCGTGCGCGCCCACCACAAGGACGAGCACTGCCGGGGGCTGCTGCGCCAGTGCCTGTCCGAGGCGCTGGAGGATGGGGGAGACGCAAGGTCACAAGTATTGATCTGAACATCGATTGTCGGAGGTCCGCGCTGATGTTTCGGATCGCCGCTGGACCCCTTCCCCGGCGCGCAGAGAGCGCCAGAGGCGGCGCTGGAGGCGCCGCCAAGGGGCTCCAGTGCCGATCCGAGAAGTCCGCGCGGACCTCCGACAGTTTGTCCTTGTGTATTGTTCCCGGAAAGGGCGCGGGCCCAGGGTTCTCTTTTTCTATGTAAACATGTCCCCGGTGCCCAACTTGAAGGAGGCCGGCGAAATTTTACCCTGATAAATATCGAGGTCGAAGGAGGCCGGCGACATTATTTTTGAGGATGTCTCAGGCGAAACGCTTGTTTTTGAAATCCCGATCGATAAATCACAGGGTGCGGGACACCTCAGCACGACCACACCCCAGCACGACCACACCCCAGCACGACCACGCACGACCACGCCCCAGCACGACCACACCCCAGCACGACCACACCCCAGCACGACCACACCCCAGCACGACCACACCCCAACACGACCACACCCCACCACGATCACACCCCAGCACGACCCGATCGATGAATCACAGGGTGCGGACCACCCCAGCACGACCACACCCCAGCACGACCCCACCCCAGCACGACCCCACCCCAGCACGACCACGCCCCAGCACGACCACAGCACGACCAGCACGACCACACCCCAGCACGACCCCACCCCAGCACGACCACGCCCCAGCACGACCACACCCCAGCACGACCACACCCCAGCACGACCCCACCCCAGCACGACCCACCCCAGCGCGACGACACCCCACCTCAGACCACACCCCAGCACGACCGACGCCCAGCACGACCACGCACGCACCCACGCCCCAGCACGACCACGCCCCAGCACGACCACGCCCCAGCCCCAGCACGACCACCCCCCAGCACGACCACCCCCCAGCACGACCACCCCCCAGCACGACCACTCCCCAGCACGACCACACCGCCTTGGTTGAGTGGTTGCCTGTCGTCGTGGAATGTTTCGTGGGGTGTCTCGTGGAATGTTTCGCGGGGTGTCTCGTGGAATGTTTCGTGAGGTGTCTCGCGGAATGTTTCGTGAGGTGTCTCGTGGGATGTTTCGTGAGGTGTCTCGTGGGATGTTTCGTGAGGTGTTGCATCGTTGGGTATCGTGAAAACGTGCCCATGCTCCACATGTCTATATCCCTTTCCGGGTTCGTGGGTCCATCATGTTTTTTCCCGACCTAAGGTTGGGGAGACGTAAGACTCGAGTACGTCGGAACTCGGGTTTGCCGACGCCTTTGACGAGCGCGTCTTGGATTTTGACGGTCCAGTTTTCGGTGTTTGCCGCGGGAGCTCGCGTCGGATTTTAGATTGGGTCTCGTCATTTTCATGATGGTCCCGCCAGGCTAGCCCGAGTCTCTCGAACCCGAGTCCTAAGTCTCCTCGAGAGGAGGTGCTCGGCCACCGGCGCGCGGTGCCCTGGCAGCCCCTGGCCGCCCTCGCCAGCGACGGCGTCTACCTGGTCGCCACGGCGGTCCTGAGCGGCAGCACGCTGGGCGAAGAGTACTGCGAGCTCGTGGCGGTGACGTCTGCGACCACCTGCGAACCCCGTCCAAGCGGGCCCAAGTGACGCCGGGGTATCGGGCGCCCCCGCTGGGGCTCACTTGGCTGCAGGCGCCCTTGAAATTCCGACCCCCCGCTGGTTTTTCGGAATTCTGACCTGCATGGGTAGGGTTCACACGTGGTTGCCTGGGTGAGCGGCGGAAGAAAACGGGGTTAATTGCGTCGATATTGGCGCGTAGGCCATCTTTCCGCGTAATTTTTCCAGCTGGATCGATCTGTGAGGGTCCTGGACCATGGTTATGAATTTGCGCACGTTGTTGCCCAGGTTCAGCGGCGCGCCCGGGGGGAAGTGAGAGGGGGCAGGCTTTCTCAGAAGGCGGCGGCGGGCTTCTCGGAAACCCTCCGGCCTTCTAAGAAGCCGCCTCCGTCTTCGGAGAAGGCTCAGGAGACTCCTCGGAAGGCAGGAGGCCTTCCGAGTCTTCTGAGACGACCCGACCCTGTGACTTCCTGCCTGGGCTCGCCGCCGACAGGTGAGGCGTTCCAAAAAGGGCCTCGCCTTCGAGGATCGAAGGAGTTGTCATCTCTTCCTCGGCGGAAGGCGGCGGCAAGTGGGCGGAAGCTTGCGGAAGTAACACGAGGCCGCCTCCGCCGGCGGAAGGCCAGCAGACGGCGGCGGAGGTAAAAGATCGACTACCCGTAAGAGTGACCCTTCGCTGAAGTGACCTCTGGTGCGGGCCCACTGGGGCCCCTGGTCGCCGAGCGCGATGCGATAGCAGCGGCCTGCGCGCTTGGGTTTGGCCCCCCCCCCGCGGCCGCCCAAAAGCCGCGCACCAAATGTCACTCTGTCCTGGGGTCACTCTTACGTGTAGCCGAAGAGACGACAACGTTTTTGGGTTCAGGGTTCCGGAGCTCGACAGGTGAACGACGCCAAAAAACGGGATCGTCTGCGCCGACATTGGCGCGTAAGCTTCCCGCGTAAGGTCGCGCGTAAGCGCCCTCGCTTCCACTGTGGCGTGCCGCGCCGGCGGCCCGCGTAAGCCACCGCGTAAGTTCGCTATGCCACCTCGCGTAAGACCCGTTTTTCCCAGAAAGGGCTTCAGGCCCAGGGTTCTCTTTTAGTTTGTTCCCCCCCGGTTTTGACGGGAAGAGGGCCGGCGGATTTCTTTTGCGATAAATAACAAGTGGGAAGAGGGCCCGTGAATTAAAATGTCAGGATGTCCCTGGCGAAACGCTTGTTTTTCAGAATTCGTTGAGGATGTCTCGAGCGAACCGCTTGTTTTGTGTTATAGATTGTCCTCTCCTAGGGACCTGAATTCTGAGGATCTCTCAAGTGGATTATTTGTTTTCACTTGCCCAGGTCTTGAGGATGTCTCGAGCGAGACGCTTGGTTTCACGCCTCCAGGTGGCCCAGACAGATGTCTAGCATGAGGATTTGTTGAGGATGTCTCAAACCAGAGGCTTGTTTTCACGTGTCCAGGTCGCCCAGGCGGATGTCTAGCATGAGCATTTGTTGAGGATGTCTCGATCGAGACGCTTGTTTGCACGTGTCCAGGTTGCCCAGGCGGATGTCTAGCATGAGGATGTGCTGACAACGTCTTGAGCGAAACGCGTGTTTTCACGTGTCCAGGTCGCCCAAGGGTATGTGGCATGTCTTCCGTGCTGCTGACGTCCTGGGGGGCCTCAGGCTCAATTTCCACAAGTGTGTTATCATTCCATTGGAGGGTGAATTCTCTCATGAGCTGGAAAAGGACACGCGTCAGTGGCTGCTGGAACACTTACCGTCATGGGCCTCCATGAAAATTGCCGACTCTGGGGAATACCTGGGTGTGCAAGTGGGCCCAGCGGCGGACGAGCACAGCATTTGGCGCAAAGTTGCGGCCAAGTGGACTCTACGCGTTCTGGAGTTGGCCAGGTCGGGCGCTCCCGTATCCACAGCTACTGACATCTACAACCAGTTTGTTCTTCCTGTGCTGGGATACTTGCAGCAATTATATCCTACGCCGAAGGTTCTCCTGGCACGGGAGTCGTGGGCGTGGCACAAAGTGTGGCATCTACCACCGCAGTGCTTGTCCCGTGCTGATATCTTCTCGCTGGCCAACTGGGCCCACTTTCGCCCCATGTCAATGGTTCCGCGTGGCACGGTCACTCTCATGAGGGCGTCGGAGGAAACGGTGACCAACTGCAGTTCTCTCATGGAGTGGCTACAAGAGGAGGTGTGCGCCAATGGTTCGCTGCACGACATTGGTCGGGGATGGCTTTCCCCATCGTTCTGGAAACAGCGTCCTACGGTGCAGTTCCTGGGCAGGGCTTTCCACAACTTCGCCCGTCGTCCACCACCTGGTGCACTTCCAGCGGATAAGGCACTCCAAGGTCCTGCGGAGCAGGCTCGACTTCTGGTGAATGAGGCTCGCGCCGCCGCCCTCGCCTCTGCTGCAAATTCAAGCTCCAGCGTGTCCTTACCTCCTCGCTCCGCGCCTCTCTTTTCCCTGATTCTGGCTTCAGTCTTGGGCGGTCCCGCATCCGAGGGACCCGTGGCCTCCGCTGAGGTCCCTGCTGGAGCCTCTTGCCCCCTCATGGCAGTCGGCGGTCGTAAAGACTCTTTGTGGGGGGTGGCTCACATCCGCGAGGCTACACATCCCCACGGGTGTGCGTGACTGTCTTTTCGAGTGTGGCTGCGCACACCAGCGTGACACTTTTCAGCGCTAGATTCGTTGTCCTGTTCTCTGGTCGCAGAGCGTCGATGGCATCGGTGGTACCTCGGAGAACGTCGCGTCCAGACTCGGGCTGGATGGGGCTCCGACTATTGTGCAGGTGAAGTCGATGGTGCTGGCTTTTCATTGTTACAATTCCATGCGCGTTCGGTCTCGCCCAGCTGAGGTTGAGATGAGCGCGTATCTCTTTCAGATTCGGCGGGCTGCGATGGCGCTCGTCGATGCATCTCGTGCGCTCTAGGCTCTCGTGAGACCCTTGTGGCGCCCATTGGTACGAGCGGCGTGTCCAGGTCGCCCAGGCACAGCACAGCCCTCGGCACGGTACATCAATATCGATACCCTTAGCATTGCAGCCTGGCATGCTGCCTGGCACGTTCCGCGGAGCGTCCCGTGGCGAGTCCCCCATGGCACGTCGCGCGGTGCACGTCCATTGGCACGTTCCGTAGCGCGTCCCCTTGGCACGTCCCGCGGTGCGTGCCCATGGCACGTCGCCTGGCGCGTCCCTTGGGACGTTCCGCGGCGCGTCCTCTTGGCATGTTCCCTCTGTCGATTAGTTCTGGGGCAGCTACCATCTGCTCAGGCAGCTCGAGCTTACGCTCCAGATCAGCTCGGTGAGGACTCGGATGCAAGGGAGGACCCGATCCACAACGCTATATAGAGCACAGTCGCGGCATGGCGCATCGCAGTTCAGCACGGCGTAGCACAGCACAGCACAGTACATCATCATCGATACATTCAGCATTGCATGTGCCCGTCGCCCAATCAGGTGTCTTTGACATGTTGCAATGCCTTACATTTCTATATTCCTTTGCGGGTTCGTGGGTCGATCATGTTGTGATCGTCGCTCAGGTGACGCCCGCCCTGCGGCGGGCCTCCCGCGCTCGCCGCCTCGCCGCCGCGGGGCTGCTGCTCCTGGCGCCCGCTGCCCTGCAGCAGCTCACGGCCGGCAGCGGGCCGCCGCGCGGCGGCGGCGCCTCGCCCTGCGGCCGCCTGCGGAGGGCCCTGGCGAGCCTGGTGGCCCGGGGCAGCGATGGAGTTTTACCCATCGGTGAAGGTAGGTATATGTCTGGAGTCCCAGATGCCAAGTGCCTTCCCACTTCAGTGGTCGAGTGGCTTCACCCTTTCCGTCCTCTGCAGGGGGCGGGTGGAGACCCAATATATGTTCAACGCCTTCCTACTTCGCGTTTCTACCCACTTCTTCCGACCGATTGGTAGGGTTAGGATGTTCCAGCCTTTTTTGTTAGCCTAGAACGCCAAAGAGAGTTTCGAGCACCAAGAGAGTACCGACACTGGGGGGTTGTCACGTGTTGGGTTCTGGGAGGCGGCCTATTCATCTTCGATAGGGGCCCGAGAGCCCCCCACGCCAGGGAGCGTGCGGATTCGCCACGGGGGCCTATCGCCGATCTATCGGCGACGTATCGACGATTCCAGCTCGATGTTTCCCCCCCTGAGCTGGTCCCATCCTCTCGTTGCCCCTCAGGTGGAGGTGGCGCCCGTGCTGCTGCGCGCCCACCTCTCGAGGAGCACAGGACAGCATAGGCATAAACTTCGCGGGCGAGCTGTGTCCAGAGGAGGAGCAAGCAAGCCTGGCGCCTAGACGGCGCAACACAAAAACACGGGCGCCCCATGCAGCTCACACAGGCACAAAGTACACCGATGTTGCTGCACTGGCCTCGTTTTCGCTTTCCTGGGCCTCCGGGGAGGCCCTCGTTGCCACAGCTGGACTCGCTTCGAAATCCTGGTCAGAACGCATCCTGGGAGAGGTCTGGGGAGTAGCGGTATCGGTACCACCGTGCCACGTTGATGTCTTCCGAGGCGTCGTCGATCCTCGACCGTGGAACGGTACGGTGCACAGATTTTCGGCCTTCAGAGCCGAAAGCTGTGCACCGTACCGCGTTGGAACGCAGTCATGGACGCCGTTCTCGTATAAACTTGCGGAGGTCCGCGCGGATCTCTTGGATCGGCGCTGGACCCCCCCCCTCCCTGGCGCGCGGAGCGCGCCAGGGGCGGCGCCAGAGGCGCCGCCCTGGGGAGCCCAGCGCCCATCCGAGAAATCCGAGCGGACCTCCGAAAGTTGATGCTTATCGCAGGCGATTTTTCTCCCCCAACCCCCGACTTGTCGACGACAAGTGAAGCCGCTCAGAACAGGAGGGGAACCCTGGGATGCACCCCAAGGGGGCTATTCGGACGCACCCCTATCGAGGATGGACGCCTCCCCTTTCGTATATCCTAGGGTTGGGCCCCAAATTTCAAGTCCACTCGAAAACCTCCAAAACCTTGGATAGAGGTCGACATATCCCCTGATAGCTTATGCAGTTTTTTGTTCCTCGGACCTCGCCGCGTTCTACGTCTTCGGCGCCTTCCGGCACCTGTCGGATCGGTGCACGGGCATCCGCGCGCTGAGCCTGGCGGAGCGCCCGCACCGCAGCTTCAGCTACAGGCCCATCGGATTCGTGCTCTTCGCCCAGATCCTGAGCCAGGCGGAGGAGAGAGGAAGGAGGGAGGGAGGGAGGGAGGGAGGGAGGGAGGGAGGGAGGGAGGGAGGGAGGGAGGAGGGAGGGAGGGAGGAGGAGGAGGAGAGGGAGGAGGAGGAGGAGGAGGAGGAGGAGGAGGAGGAGGAGGAGGAGGAGGAGGAGGAGGCTTGTGCATTCGCCCAGGCCTGTGCCGCCGTGCTGCAGTGGCGGAGAGGTCGGGGCGGCGCCACCGACTCGGACGCCAAGGCTGTTGCCAGAGTCGCGGCGTTCGTGTCGGAGCACTCGAGCACCATCCCCTGCCCCGCGAATCCGAAGAGGCAGCCGACGTGCAACGTCTGCTTCTGCCCAGCGGAGCACGCCACAGCGACTGTCTGCGGGCATATCTTCTGCTGGGACTGCATCGCCAACTGGTGCGTCATCAAGGCGTCCTGCCCCCTCTGCCGCGCGGCGGTGCTTCCCCAGCAGCTGCTCCCGCTGAGCCACTACGAAGCGCCCCCGCGGGGCAAGGCGCGCGAGGCGGCGTGGCCAGACTGAGCAGCGCAGCCGCGAGGGGAAGCAACGAACATTGGAAGGAGAAACAACTGCATAAACAGGTCGTCGTTTTCGTATTCATTGTTTTGCCGATCGGCGCGGGCCCTCGCATCCCCCCTCCCCCCCTTTGGGGTACGTAGATCTTTGCTGTTTGTGGCGCCTGTTTCGAGCAGGTGGAGTCTCCCCTATGGGATGCACGGTTTCAAATTGTCGCACGAAGCAGAGGTTCAGAGCCAGACCCCTCCTCCCCCCCAATGTAGAAACGCCGAATGAGAAAACGTTTACCAGAAACTTTCGGAGGTCCGCGCGGATTTCCCAGATCTGCGCTAGGTCTCCTGGCGGCGCCTCCAGCGCCGATCCACGAGATCCGCGCGGACATTCGAAACTTTCTCTTATGCATTCTTTCTTCTTCTAGACACCAAAAAGAAGCATGTCGACGTGCAGGTCTGGATGTGGGGGGCTCCGCGGCGTCCCGTCGGCCCTTAAGACTTACTCGTTATTCGGGCCGTCTTGTGGTAGCCTTGAGCCGTCCTGGGGTCGTCTTGGGGTTCCCGGGCGCCTCTTCAAGAGCCTGTCCATCGAGCGTCTAATGCCTTCTGCAAGAAAGCTACCTGGAATCAGCGAGGCTGGATTGTAAGCAGGCGTCGACACGCAATTTTCCCGAACTAGGTTTTGCCGAGCGAGTGATGATTTTGGTTCGTCCTCCAATGAGGGTCAGGAGGAGTGCAGCCCCCCCCGATTTCTCAAGAGCGCCCTCCCAGTTTCCCAAGGAAGCTGGCTGGCGCCTCGAACATGTCGATCAGGGTCCCCGCCTCGCTTTCTGGCTAGCCGGTGATCTCTTCTCCGCCCAGCCGAGAACCCCTAATAGCTCTGCAAAAGCTCGTCCTCGGTTGTGTTCACCCTCTCGATCTGCAGTTCGAGAAGCTGTGGGCGCTCTCGGCGTTCTGCCTCTGAGCGAAAAGTAGATTCGAGTTTCTGTTCCTGCAGGCGGCGCCACATGCGACGCACATGCTGTCTCTGGTCATAGTGCCTCCCTGGCCGCCGCTGGGCGAGGAAGAGGAGGAGGAGGATGAGAAACAGGAGTAGGACTAACATGGGAATCATTTCATTACCACGCATCGGCACACGATGATGAGTTTTGTGATTGCCACTACTATTTGTAATTGTAGTAAACGGTGAAGCTCGTAGGATAAGGATAGTCGTGCGGTAAGTAATGCGGCCAACACTTTTGGTTGTAGTTGTAGCTGCAACAGCGACAGTATTGCCATTTGTGTTATCCGTCATTTAATGATAAGGGGAGGAGCGAGGAGGGGGAGGAGGAGGAGGAGGAGGAGCAAGGAGGAGGAGGCGCAGCACGACGATGGAGCCGCCAGAAGATCGCCCAGCCGCCGGCGCAGGCTATGCAGCACCTCCCCATGGCCGACGAGCAGTTGCGCGACCTTCACAAGGAGTGCGCGACTTTCTCTTTGCGGGGTGCGCCCCGGGCGACAAGGACTGCGACGACAACGGGCGCAACCACAACGACGAAGACGTCGACGTCGACGTGCGTCTGTCCGTCGCGCGTTTCGAACACAACAGAAGGCGTCTTTTCTTCGGCTTCTGGGGCGCTGTTATTTTATGGCTGTGGTATTTCGGCGACGACGACGCTTCTGGAGGTTCTCGTCGCCCCTGGAGGAGCCCGGGAAGCAGCATCGAGCGGTGGCGGCGGCGGCGACGGTGGCTCTGGCGCTGGCGTCGACGCGGCTGATGGGTTATCTTTCCTGAGTTTCAGTTGCTATGACGATTCACCGAGCACGTGGCAGAGCGCAGCGATGAATCCTGATGCATGGCGCTCCTTGCCTGATCAGCACTGTCAGTTCTGAAGCTTCGCAGAGCAGCGCTGTGGCGCGTGCCCACCTTCCCCCGCAGCGGGGCGGGCTTCTGCCCAGCAGGGCGACGTACGGTCGGGAACTTTTGTTTAGAGTATCGCGTCGCCCGTTGTGGCCCACCAAGCCTCGGCGCGACATGCCAACCACGTCCCAGTCCCCTGGCATCAGCGTCCCAAGCTTTTCCCAGCCCCTCATCCCGCGGAGCGGAGCGACGCGCTATCCGCTTGCAGGGCAAAGCGTGTCGCAGTGGCCTCCACCGCGACACGCGGAGCAAAAGTTCCTGATCCTATCGTATCGGACCGTATGCTGGAGTTCCTCGGGGATTGCTAAGATGTCCCTGGCTCAAGGTGTCCCCCGAGTTTCCTTCCATTTTGGAGACCCTGGGGCACTCTGGGCCTCGTGAGGGGTGCTCTGGAGGCCGCGGGGGCCTTCTGGGAAATCCTGGGAGCACTTTGGGCCAAAGACACGTCTGGCAGCACCCGAACAGCGGGGTGGGCTTCTGCCCAGCAGGGTGATGTATCGCTGATGCTGCTCATGATGTTGCTGCTGCTGATGATGATGATGGTGGAGGTGATGATGATGATGATGATGATGATGATGGTTGTGATGCGGCTGCTGATGATGTTGTTGTTGTTGTTGTTGTTGTGCTTGATGTTATGGTTGTTGTTGTCGCTGTTGTTGTTGGTGCTGTTGATGTTGCTGTTGCTGTGTGTATTTTTGTCGATACCGCTTAGAATGATGATGATGAATTTGATAAGTTTGATCATGTTTTTGATGATCATGATGGTGATGGCGATGATGATGATGATGATGATGATGATGATGATGATGATGATGATGATGATGATGATGATGATGATGATGCCGATTATGATGCTTACGATACTGATGATGTTGATTCTGTTTTCGATGAGTATGCTGATACTGATGATACTGTTGATGATTATGAGAGTATGTGATGATGGACGATGGTGCTGATGCTGATGATGACGATGATGATGCTGATGATGACGGCGATGTTGATGATGTCGTTGATGATGATGATGATGTTGATGATGATGATGATGATGATGACGGCGATGCTGTTGATGATGAGGATGATGATGTTGATGCTGTTGATGCTGATGCTGCTGACGATGATGATGATGATGACGATGCTGATGCTGATGATGATGAGGATGGTCTTCTTGTTGATGATGCTGATGATGATGCTGATGACGATGATGATGATGATGATGATGATGATGATGATGATGATGATGATGATGATGATGATGATGATGCTGATGATGGTGCTGTCGCTGATGATGGTGCTGATGATGTTGTTGATGACGGCACTGACGCTGATCATGGAGACGATGATGGTGGTAGTGACGATGATTATGATAATGTTGCTGACGATGGTAATGACGATGATGATGCTGCTGATTATGCTGATGACGATGATGATGCTAATGTTGGTGTTTTTCCCGGAAAGGGCTTAGGCCCAGGGTTCTCTTTTAGCTGTTTATCCCCGGACCTGACTTGAGGTAGGCCAGCGGAATTATTCCTTGATAAATATTGAGGTCGAGGTGGGCCGGCGGAATTATTTTTGAGGATGTCTCGAGCGAAACGCTTGTTTTTCAGAATGTGTTGAGGATGTCTCGAGCGAAACGCTGGTTTTTCAAAATTGGAGAATGTCTCGATCGGGTGCCTCGTGGGGGGCCAGAATTCAAAGGATGTCTCAGGCAAAATGCTTGTTTTCACGTCCCCCTCGCAGGAATTCCGAGGATGTCTCGCGCGTGCCGCGTCCCGTGCGCAGGAATTTCGAGGATGTCTCGACTAATTCGTTTGTTTTGCCAGGAAGTCCTTGGATTTTGACAGGATGTCTCAAGCGAAACGCTTGTGCCCAGCACGTTCCGTAGCGCGTCCCCTTGGCACGTCCCGCGGTGCGTCCCCATGGCACGTCCCTTGTCACGTCGCTTGGCGCGTCCCTTGGGACGTTCCGCGGCGCGTCCTCCTGGCATGTCCCCCTGTCAATTCGCTCTGGGGCAGCTACCATCTGCTCAGGCAGCTCGAGCTTAAGATCCAGATCAGTTCGGTCAGGACTCGGATGCAGAGGATGACTCGATCCACGAGGCTATAGAGCACAATCGCGGCATGGCACATCGCAATTCAGCACGGCGCAGCACAGCACAGGTTTCGGCACGGTACATCAAGATCGATACACTCAGCATTCCAACTTGGCACGTTCCTTGGCACGTTCCGTGGGGCGTCCCTTGGCGAGTCCCCCTGGCACGTCGCATGGCGCGTCCCCTGGCACATCCCGTGGCACATCCATTGGCACGTTCCGTAGCGCGTTCCCTTGGCACGTCCCGCGGTGCGACCCCATGGCACGTCCCTTGGCACGTCGCTTGGCGCATCCCTTGCGACGTTCCGCGGCGCGTCCTCCTGGCATGTTCCCCTGTCCATTAGCTCTGGGGCAGCTACTACGTGTTCAGGCAGCTCGAGCTTAAGATTCAGATCAGGACTCGGATGCAGAGGAGGACTCGATCCACGAGGCTATAGAGCACAATCGCGCCATGGCACATCGCAATTCAGCACGGTGCAGCACAGCACAGCCCTCGGCAGGCTACATCAAGATCGATACACTCAGCATTGCATTTGCCCGTCACCCAATCAGGTGTCTTTGAAAACGCTGCCATGTGTTACAGTTCTATATTCCTTTCCGTGTTCGTGGGCCGATCAGGTTTGTTGCTCTCGCTGAGGCGCTGGCTTCATTTTCGGGCTTCCGCTCGTTCCGAATCGTGCTCCCGCTGCAGCGCTGGCGTCATCATTTCCAGCGCCATGCCACGGCATGGTCTTGGGCACTTTCAAATAGGCTCCGCCATCTAGAATATGCTTCCCCGAAAGAAAACATCGGAAGTGATTACACATTCGGTGCCGATTCGTTGATTTTCTGGGTCGCAGAAGCCCCCACTCTGGGGCGTCCCCACGCCATGCTATGGCAGGCTCCGCGTCCACAGAATCGTGCTTTCGCTGCAGCGCTCGCCTCATTTCTGTGCTTCAGCTCGTTCCAAATCGTGCTCCCGCTGCAGCGCTGGCGTCATTATTTCCAGCGCCATGCCACAGCATGGTTTCGGTCCTTCCAAGTAGGCCCACAAATTTAGTAAATTACCCCCCGAAGAAACCATCGGAAGTGAATACACA